TTCATCCCCTATACTGCTCTCTTTCATCCCCCCTCCTCACCCGATTCCTGGAACAGTTTTAACAGGTATCATTTTTGCATTTACATACACTTGTATACATTATTTGCACCTTATTCATCCTCCTACCCCCTTTCCCTGCCACCTCCCTTCTCCCACCAGTGCCTACTCCCACCTGTGTTTTTTTAAAATCCAAACTATATTCATGACAGAATAAAACAAATAAAGATCACCTGTCCACACACAGCTATAGATATTATATAGACTTTATTGGCTTTTAGATTTTTACACTTAATCTTAGCCAAAAAGTGGAGAAGCAATGTCCCTTAGATTTTCTGTTTTTGTTTTTGTTTTTTTGACAGTACTGGGGTTTGAATTCAGGGCCTCACACTTGCTAGGCAGATGTGCTACCTACTGCTTAAGCCACTCTACCAACAAGATTTTTAAAAAGCGTCCTTTTAAACATTTTTTTCCTTTGTTCTTATATGAGTCTAAGAGTTACAGAATGCTACATTCCAGCTAAGGCTGGCTAAGATAACAAATGACCTTGAACAACAAAACTATCTTAGTAAAAGCAAAAGGAAGGCAGAGGGAAAGAAAGAGCCTAGAATCTTTACATGTTAACCCTGTATTTATAGTTTAGGATACAAAAAGGCAAATTTATGGCTAATTATTTGGTCTTTCTAAACACAGAAAGGAGGACTAAGATCTCCACTGTTGTGCAAGTATTAGTTCAGAATGACAGAGTAAAACTGAAAGGGTGATCCCCTATATTGCAAAGAAATCAGGTAGGTTTACCAGAACCAGAGGAAAATAAAGTCACCTGCTCCTGAGTAGGGACCTATTTTGGTTTGCCAAAATATGTCACCAGATTCAGGTCATTGGGTCTAGGAGCCAGAAAGTTCTTTGTCTTTGTCAGAAAAGGATTAGGGATGGACATAGAGGAGACTTAAACAGGAGCAGGTTCATTAAAGCAAAGCAAACAGAAAGCAGAGCAAATGTGCACCCTCCAGATAGAAGGGTGGGCAGACTCAAGAGTGAGCACTAAGGTGGAGCTCCAAAGACCTTAAATTTTTATTGGGATTTGTGGACATGGGGGTGGTCAGTCCTGAAAAGCTGGGTTATGTGTCATTTAACTTCTAGAAACTGGGCTATGTGTCATCAACTCCTCCCACATGTCAAGCAGGTAAGTAGTTCTCAGCCTTTGGAGGTCAGACTGGGGCTATCATTTTTTGTAGGATCCAGGGGCTATGGGTCAGCAAGGCCTTGTTATATGTCACAACAATGGTCTTCTATTAATGCCAGCAGTCAACATCCAAACCATGGTTCTCAACAATGAGGTTCCTTGCCTAGCTCCTATATCGCAGTTGTAGATCAAAGAGAAGATCTAGTTCTTGGTGTTGCTGTTCAACAAAGGTGGCATCTGTTTGAGGCAGGACTGATAGATGAGGTGACAGGGAAATTAAAAATAATAAAAATATTGAAAAGGTCAGATTCAGGCATTAAAACAGAACCAGGGACTAAAGACTGAAAAACCATTGCAAACTGCAAGCTGTCCTCTCATTACCCCTACACTTTCTTTCAGATGTGAAGTAAGTTATAATCCCCTTGAATGGGTAGGGAGACACTGAATTAAAAGCATGTTTGGCAAATGGATGCCCTAAATGTTATACCTATTGTCTCTGTCTTTTGAATAATAATAGGACTTATATTAGCCATATTTCAGGTAAAGGCCCATGCTTGAAAACTTAGCAAAATTATTAGGGGTTGCTAGGTAATATAACTACATGTGTAGATGGGGATTCAAGATGAAGTCCCCCAGCTCAGAAAGTATAAATAAATATACCCATGACAGGGACCCCATTTTGAGCCTCTTAAGCTCCCACTGTCTGTATATCTTGGGAGATACTCTGCTTTTCCTTCTCTGTTTCTCCCTATTTTGTCCTGTTTTGCTAAATAAATCCTTGCTAAATTTCCATCTCGTGAGATTTTCCTTTTTGTGAAGCCCCTTGAAATACTTTTTGTTGTGGATTTCAAGGACGATGATTGGCACAAGAATTGGGACGCTGAATCCAGGTTTCAGCCTTTCTCCATTTTTGGAGATTACTCTTGTTCATCTCCTTTCTCCAGCAACATGTTGACACATCCTCCTCCTTCCTATCTGCTCTGTGTCATTGCTTGTCTCTCCTTCCTTGTTTCTACCTGCTGGCTCTCCATGCTTGTCTACACAGTTCTTAAGGGTACTAGAAGCCCTTCCAGGCTTCCCAAACTTTGCTGTGATAGGTATAAATCCTGTGAATATGATTTTGCTTCATCTACAGTGATGTGCCAGCCTGCCTGAGGTTTCCACTCCTTCCCTGCACTCAAGGGATTTTAAGATCTTGGATGTCCCTCAAATGATCCTTGCTCTAGATCCCCAAATCTCTCTAAGGGCAGAGTTGCCCTTTGTCCTAGCTACAATGGGCCCTGGGAATATATAGCACAGGGATCCTTCTCAAGGAACCACCACTAAGTTTCTTGCTCCCCATCTCATTCTACTCTCCCCATCCCCTAGAGTGAGGCAATTTTACTTCTGAAACATAAACTTTCCTTGAGTCCTTCAGAGCTTTGGTTTTTGAAAATCAAAATTTAGTCTCTTGGAATTCAAAGCTCATGCATTTATCTGCAACTTAAAACCTGCCCTGTACTAATGTACTCTATCATTCTTTTTTTAAAGGATGAATACAATTAATGAAATGGAGTAAAAAATAAGAGTTAGAAAAAATGACAAGAGGGGTACAAATTTCAATTATAGTCTCAAATTCTCATCTTACTACCCAGAGTTGGGGAGCAATCAAATAAAAGCTGTGCATTGGGCAAGTTTTCATATTGATTCTAAGGCTCCATTTTCCCATCTGTAAAATGTGCGATTGTTGTCAGGACTACTAAGAAGTAAGAATCTGGCTAAGTTTTCAATAAGCAGCTTTATTCATTTCAACCCTGTGTAGAAGTTTGAGTAACCAAATATATTGGAGTTGTTTCTATAGTACTTTGTACTTCTGTTAATTCTAAAGTTAACAGTAGGACACATCAACTAAGGCTGTATCTCTGGGCACGAAAATATGAAGGCAGTAAAAACTTAAATCATTGGGAAAAATGATTGTCTTCTTCCCCCAGGAAATTTCTTTCCCCTTTTTTTCTTTATACCACTCCCACACTTACTATCCTACTAGAAGGTTATAAAGGTCAAAGGCAAGAATTCCTAAACCAAAATCCAAAACAAAATTGAGCATCTACTCTCCTTATCACATTCTATCCTGTACTGTTTACTCTAGTTTCTAAGATCTTTGAATGTAAGGATTGCAAAGTTTTTGCTGTGAAAAAGAAACTTCTGGGTAAAGCAATTTCTGTTCAAAAAATTATTAACATATGAATGGGTTTCAGTGTGATGTTTCCATACTGCTTTTATGTAATGTGCACTGAATAGACCCAGCATCTTTTTTGCATTCTCCCTCCCTCGTGCCCTCCTCAATCTCTACTACTCATTATTCTACTTTCAAGTCAACTTTTTTAGTGTCACATGAGACAGAACATGTAGCACTTGTCTTTCAGTATTTGGCTTAACATAGTGTCCTCTATTGCCTTATTTTAAGGCTGATTACCTAATGACATAACAAAGTTGGCAGGTGGGAGGCCCATCATTACTTTTACTTTCCTTAATTTTTAAACTGAGTTATCAAGAGCCTTATTCTGGGTTTAACCATGGGTCCTTAAAACATCTGATCTTGGACTCACGTGGTTTGTTGTATTACTGTCTTTACTATCAACTAAAAGAGAGAGGTGGCTTGACAGTAAGTACACTCTCTTCATATCTGATGGGATATATGTTTCCAACATAAACTAATAGGTCCCTGGTGGTTCTTTTAGCAGTATTATCCAGATCTTATCTGATTGCCTGTAATAGGCAATAGGAGGATGCAAGAGACATGTGAACTACCACTGCTTGTTGCTTTTCTTTAGTGACAGAAGGAGCCTTAAGTCAGTCCTCCACTAGTGCAAAGGACCTAAGAAGACATTAAGGAGGTCCTTTCTGTCTGTTTTAAGAACACAGGAATTTTGGGAGCTGCAAAACGCTTTCTTATTCCCTAAAGTGTTGCAAGAATTTGGTCACTGTGCTTCAGAAATAGATGCTGAAGCCTGCTAGTGTCTGTCAGCCATGCCCACTCGTCCCTAGGCTGAGATTCTGCCCATTGAAATGCCACACCCAAGCCTATTTTAAAGCTTAATGATGCTGACAGTCCCAATAGGCGCCCACTCATTTGTTCAGAGGTCGATTTCATGACACCACACGCCTTTTGAATGCTCATTTTAGGTGTCTGATTCACCTAGAGAATGCTTAAGAAATACAGGTGTCCTCACTCCCCTTGGATGCAGTCTGGGGAGTCATTTTAAAAGACCTGGTGATTCCAGTGTGACATCAGCTTTGGTAACTAGTGGCCTACAGTTTTCGACCGTCAGAAGAGTGCATTTAAAAAAAAATATTTTTAACCATCGCATCCCAAAGGCTTAACGCAGTGTTTAGCACAAAGCAGACATTCAGTAATCTTTTGTGAATAAACACCATTTTACAGACGAGACAACGGAGGCTCGTGGACGTTCAGACCACACAAGCGGCGATGCTGCCGTTCGCTCGCGTTGTCCTCTCGGCAAGGGTCAGACGTGGAGACTGCGGTGAAAGTTCCAAAGGTCAAAGTTTGCTCTGCAGCGGTCAAGCCCCGCCCCGCATCAGCTGGGAACCCCCACCTTGGCCTGCGCCCGGCGAGGGCGGGGATTAACCTGAGGCTCCGCCCCTTATGGGCGGGGCGGCGTGCGTGAGGGCTGCAGCTGCGCCTGCGTGAGGCGCCCCGCATCAGCTGGGAATCCCCACCTTGGCCTGCGCCCGGCGAGGGCGGGGGTTAACCTGAGGCTCCGCCCCTTATGGGCGTGGCGGCGTGCGTGAGGGCAGCAGCTGCGCCGGAGGCTGCGCCTGCGTGAGGCGCAGAGGGGACGGGGTCGGACTCAGAAATGGCGGCCTCCATGTTCTACAGCCGGCTGTTGGCTGCCGCCGCCCTTAGGAGCCACCGGCCCCGGATAGCGCTGGGGGCTGCCGTCCAGGTATTGCTGCCTGGCCTGCTCTCGCGTCGAGGGTCGGCAGGAGAAAGGGCGAGGTGGGGGACGCTTAGCTCCTGTGGGTGAGGTGTGGGGAGCCGGAGCCCGGCTTGGGGTCACTTCGCTGGCGGTGACATTTCCTGAGCGTCCTGCCTGGCCTGCGGACGGCTTACCCTGGTTGCTCGCCAGGACTGTGAGCGGACCGGTGTTTGCGCCGCTCTGTTCTTCGGGCGGACTGGCCGTCCGGCCTCCGCTGCCTCATTAGTGTCCGAGTGGGCGGCGGGGAGCCGGAGGGCTCCGAGTGGAGGCGAGGGGGTCGGGGTAGTTTCCGTCGCCGTCCGCGTCCCGGGCTTCCGCGGCCTGTTTCTGGGTAGGGGGAGTGTCCTTCAAGTGTACGTTCATGTCTCTTGGGAACCGTCATGGTTGGAAACCACTTGAGAAGACCAGCAGTGCTTGCCTTCCCCGGTTGTGTGTTCTGTTCGCTTAGCAGTGATAATGGGGTGATGTGTTCCAGCTTACCAGTTGGGGAAGTAAGAAAATAATCTTGGGTAACTTCATTTCTGGGTAGACTGTAGTGTAGTACCCACTTTTTTGTTGTTTGGTTTTTGGGTATTTGTAGTGTGGCAGGTACTGTCCTAAGTTCATCAGTCTTTTCAGCAACGCTGGGGAGTCATTAAGTCCTGCACCATTGATGAAGATGGTGTGGATAAGAGAACAAGTACTTTGGGCTGGGAAACAGCAGGTGAGGTGAAAGCTCAGTTGCAGAAATGTCCGTTTCCGAAGCCTGTGAGTTTAAGTCTGCTGGACAATTTCAGGAACATAAAAATTGGCCTGTTCCAAAGTTGAAAGCAAGAAACTGGAAATGCTTCCTAAGTCACTTGCGGAGTTTTATTTAGGTTGTTACAAACTCTTCAGGCATGCCATAGATTAATAGACTTGGCCTTTTTTTTTTTTTAATGAAGATGCTTTTACTCTTAGCATGAAAGTAGTGAGTTAGTTTCCTAATAGAAGGATATTTTGTGTGTGTGTGTGTGTGTGTGTGCGCGCGGGGGGGCGGGGGAGGGTGAGTGGGCTGAATTTTCTTTAAAGGGTGCTGTCTAGGATTCAGAAAATGAGGAAATGAGGATTTGGTGATCAAATACGTTTTTGCTCTAATCATAACTTTTATCTGTTTGGAAATTCCTTCTTAAAACAAAACACCCTTTGTTTCTCCGTGTGGAACTTCTTGATATGTTGTCTTTTTAAAAATTTCTTTTCTTTTCCCCCTCACCCTGATGTATCAAGAAATACATATTTAGCCCTTGCTGAGACTCTAACCCCTTTCTTTTGTAGATGGGGACATAGAGGTGCTTAGGAAACTTGTCGGGGTCACACACAATTTAGCAATTCTTTTCAACGTTTTGTTTAGTCCTCTGACTCTTCCAGTTTTTCTTTGTCTTCTTTGAAAATAGTTCAGGTTATGAGCATATAGGTAAGAGATTTTCTTGGATTTGACCTGGAGTTGGTAGACTTTTTGGCAGTAGGAATCTTTATTTTTTTTTCCTTTTTTCTTTTTAATAGTCTTCATTTTAGTTGACACATAATAATTGTACTTATTAGTGGAGTTTGATGTGGTGTTTCAATACATGTATACATTGCATAATGACCAAATCAGGGTGATTAGCTTACCCATCATCTCATATTATATCTAGGTACCACAATTTATTCATCCTCCAGTTGATGTGCAGTCAGGTCATTTACATTTTTTGTTGTTGAGTAAGTCTGCTATGGACATTCTTACAAATGCCTTTTGATAGATGTTGATAGGCACTCAGGAGTGGGATTTCTGGGTCAGGAGATAGGCATGTAGAACTGTTGGGAGTTGTTGGCTTTTAATATTAATGTCACTAAGATTAATGACACTATATCAAAGAATCGTGTTACTCTGGTGAAATGTTAGCCAGGATCTTAGCCAAATGAATTAGAAATAAATTGCTATTACATGTGATTGATTTGTTAGACTGACTAGTGGTTCTAAAATTGTAGGGTCCTGAAGAATCAACTGAGTGCATTGTTACTGGTTCAGATTTCCTTAGCCCAGTCCAAAGATTGTGATTTTGTAGAGAAGGATGGGGTCCAGGAATCTTCATTTTCAGAGACAGATTATGAGTTCAGTTGAAGTAACAGACATCACTTAGCATTTCCTTAAATTCAGTTCTCGTGATATTCGCATGGTTGATAGGAACCGTGTTTCAATATATTGCATTTTGTGTGGAGCTGTAAGTACATCTTACATTGAAAGTGTGATTATCATACAGTCTCCCAAGACTTTCATAGTATTTAATTTGTTCTATATATTGTCTTGTAAAAGTCACAAGACGGTGGAATTTGAAAAAGGCAGGCATTTTAACATGTTACGATATTCTAAGACTAGGCTGACTTAGTGTTGCTAAGATTAATAGATTTGAGATTAATAGATGCTAGAGGTCTTACTGATGTAAGCTTTTCCCAGTGTTGTGGCTCTCATACCGGAAGCTGAAAGGTTAGCCCTCATACTCTTTTCTCCTGTTTTACAGTGACATATAATCTGTTTCCTTAGGAAAACAGGAGTAATTATGATTCAGCTCTACTCATAGACTTTTTAGTTTTGCCTTCCACTACATAAATGATACTTTCTCATAATCTAATTTTTATTTTATTACTCTTTCTTAGCTCCGTCACCTGTTTATTGTCTGTCCTCTTCTTCTACAAATAAACACTAGAATGTAAGCCTTGGGGGATAAAATTATGTTTTTGGTTGACTGCCTAGATGCTCAATAACTATTTGATAGGATGAATGGATACTCCACATAGATTGAAAAGGGGAAGACTTTGTAGTTGGCAGTGCTTTCTTGGAAGTTTTTATTTTCCAGTTGTGAAGGACAGGCTTGTAAAAGAGGTATCACTTAGAAAGAATGTGTTAAAGATGATGTTGCAGGGTGGTTCTCCAAGATGAGATTTGTAGACTATGGAATGGAGAGTCCTGTGCAAGTCCTTTGTTGGAAAGTGATCTGGATCAACACTTGTGGGAGAGTGAGGGTAGGAAAATTGAGTAGAGGAGGAGTAAAATTGTGGTGTAGTGGCAACAGAATCATATCATTCCTATAAGAAATCTGAAACTAGGATTGCCCTTTTGAATTGTTCCAAATTGAAGTGAAGTGCTGAATGTATATCTCTCCTCCTTTCCCTACTGATAACAGTGGTACAGGCTGCTAATGTGAAGGACTTTGGAAAAGGAAGCTCCCCCTGAGAGCTGTCCCAGTCAGCACTTCCAGCAGCTCAGGCCATGAATGCCTTGGTTATGAAGAGTAGATCTGGGCAGTACACCACAGTGTCCACTACAGATGAAGCCAAAGTTTTGAGTCTTGAATGTATGAAAGGGTATGGGTATCAGATTATTTAAGCATCACATATCTAGTACCAGAGGATTTGTTAGATGCTAGAGGAATGGTGGAAAGTTTTGGTTTGGTGGAAGAGATGAAATTGGTTTTAGATCTTCTGAATTTGGCATCCAAGTTGAAATACCCTGTAGGTATTAGAGGTATGATAGTAAAACTCGAATGTAAGATAAGGACTAGAGATGATGAGGAAATACCTACAAATGTAACCTGATATTTACCTGGTAGATTTTAGTTTTATATTGTAATTCAGGTACTCTAAATACTGATCTTTAATGATTTAATATAACAGTTTTGTTATAGTTATGAAGAACTAAGTACTCTAAATAAAGTGTTTTGAGGAGGTGCTTTTACCAAGAATAATTGCCACATTACTGTCATATATAAAAATGTCTCCAATTTTCTCTAGGTTCTGGGAAATTCTGGATTGCTTAATAACCATGGACTTCAAGTACAGCAGCAACAACAAAGGAATCTCTCACTACATGAATACATGAGTATGGAATTGTTGCAAGAAGCTGGTGTCTCTATTCCCAAAGGATTTGTGGCAAAGTCATCAGATGAAGTTTATGCAATCGCCAAAAAATTAGGTAGTAAATTAAGAAAAACCTACACCACCTTGATGTGGGAACTTTCAGATAAGATAGGAACTTTGCTTTTGATTTGATGATAACTTGCTTTTACCTTTTAAAAAATAAATTTTATTTACTTACAAGGTGAAGCTTTATGATTGTTGAAATTCTACAATTAGTATGAAATGATTTTGACTCCCTGTAGTGTTAGTGACATAGGGGTCACACATTGGTGTTAAGAAGCTAAAGTCCTATTTTTAGCTGGAACAGGTTATGGGGAAAAAATTCCATTTGGTACTTTGCAGTTTTCAGGATTGGTGGCTTTGATGATTTTTCAGAGAAGTGATGAAGGAAAATCTTAGTTGTTTATGTGTTGTAAAGAGAGTCCCAGTACCCTCCTTGCTTTTGATGTGAAAAGTATGGGAGCAAAATAGGCAAGAAGTAAAAGTTGAGCTTTAGAATGTAAGCTCCATGAGAGAAGGGTTTCCTTGACTTCATTTGTTTACTGATATATCCCGCAGTCTTAGATGAGTGCCCCATACTTGAGTAATCAGTGAATATTAATATTTGCTAAAGAATTAACTAGTTGGCCTTGTTTATTAGTAGATTCTCTTATTGATCCTTAATAACTTTTCTTAATTTGAATTTGTACTAATAACTATAAAAACAATTTCAACTGTAGTAAAAAAAATATGTTTACATTTTTAAAGCTGTACAATGAAATAATGTAGTAGCCCCATACTGCATTTTTCTATATAATCATATTTGAAATCTCACCAGTTTTATGTAGATAGGCACAGTTAATATCTCATTTATACATTTGGTTAATATGACTTTATGCTTTGGTGAAGACTTTGCTTTTATTAGTTCTCCATGAAAAATATGGAACATTTAAGAAATGCTTAAAATTTAAACATTTTATCTAGGTTTATATGTATTTGTTTTACATATGTTTTAAGAGTGAGGATGCAAGTTCAGAGAATTACTGTATAAGCTAAGTTTTTGAGTGTGAGGGCCATGATTTCCTTAACTTGGAAACATGATTTTTCATTTACACTTTTTTTTGTTATTAATTAGAAAAAAATTCTTTTTATTCAGATTAGGAAAAAGTTCTTTTTATTCAGCAAAAGCTTTGTCAAAGTTCATACTAATTTCAGTGAAATTTTTGTTAATTGTCACTTGGCGTTTGAATTTGTTTGTGATAATGTTAATAGGTCCTGATTTATAAATAGCGAAGTTATTAAACCCTTTTTTATTTCCTGATTTTTATAGCTTATTTTCTTTAACTTGTTTTATGTATATTTTTTCATTTAATCGAATTTTGTTTTGTCAGAAAAAAAGAATTAATGTAGAAACTTTTTCAGAAAATGAGAAGATTTTTTTTTTCTGATGCCAGTCTTCTTGATTTCTTTACTCTTTATAATAGCCTCTAATGATTCTTAGGTGTGGAAGAAAAAACAGTTAATATGTGCTGTATAAACTGTAACTATGAATATTTCTGGCAAGTTTTTTGGGACTAGGATTTATAAGTAGTAAGAAGCAGGTAGAAGCTCTGATTTTGAGCCCCTTTGGAATGGGGATATCTTATTCATTGAGAAAGTGTGTTCTTGTCACAAAATACTGTAAATAGGCAGTATTATAGTATAGGCATGGGATTTGGAATCAATAAAGACCTTTAAAGGAGCAGAAATGCTACTTTTTAAAGATATATTTAGTAACTTTGAATACATTGAGGACAGTTTGTGTTTTTGTTGATTCCTTAATATCAGAAGATATTGTTTGTATGAACTAAATCCACATTGTATGAGGTGTGGTCTGATTTTATCCATTTACACAGCAATTTCCAATGCTGAGTTTTGGTTACTTCAGGGTTATTTTTGCTTTTGAATTACTGCAGAATTCACAAAACACCAATTTTCATTAAAAAGTTTTACGTAGAGATGGGAGAGGGTATGTGGGGGAGGTGTCTTGCGAACTATTTGCCTGGGCTGACTTTGAACCAAACTGTGATCCTCTCAGTCTCAGCCTTCAAAGTAGCTAGGATTACAGATGTGAGTTACCAGAGCCCGATTTCATTTTCTGTATGTTCTATGATGGAAAAAGTTGGGAAGCACTGTCTCTGAGCAAGTTTTACAAATAATTGAGGTTAGAAATGAAATCAAGGGTAGAAAGAAATCTAATGCTAATGTTTTAAAAGACTGTTGAGTCCACAAAATGAAGATTGGTGAGAGTAAAGATCATGAAGTTTCTGGAATGGATTATTAGAGCAGTTTACTACCTCTTATAGTTCCTTACTAGTTCAAGGAAATAGGATTTCAATAAGGCATTTAGCAGTGGTTTTATAATTTCCCTATTGACTAAATAGTTTGGATTCTAGTGTAATTAAGGTAGAATCCCTGTCTGGTTGAATAAACATATAATTAGTTAATGTCATTGTGGAGGGCCACTGTCCTCCTATTTGTGCTCCTCCACATAGCTGGGATGATAGACCTACACTACCACATTTAGCCACTGGTTAAGATGGGGTCTCTAACATTTTGTTTGGGCTGGCCTCACACTGCTATCATCCCAATCTCTGCCTTCCAAGTAGCTAGTATTGCAGGTGTGAGGCACCATACCCAGCTGTTTTTTAAGGAAAATTTTAAATCTTATCTAATTTTTAGCAAATACTCTTTGTGATATACTTGTGAGTGGTAGAGACTGACATATTGAAAAGGGTCAGTGTTGCCTAAATAAGGCACTTCTCATCAGCTTTAGTGGGCCCAGTATTTTCAGTTCAGGGGTTTTTCAAGAGCACTGGAATAATAAAAATTCTGTTCATTTTAATGTTGTTTTTTTAACATTCAGAATATTATGTCTTGGGAACCCTTCCAGAAGCTTGTAAACATCAGTTAATACAACAAAGATTCTGCCATCTTGGATCCTATATTCTAGTGGGCAAGCAAAACAAGAAGTGATATACATGAGAGACTTATGTATTATGTTAGAAGGTGATGAATTCCATGGGGAAAAAAGGCAGATGAGGGAAGGGGAATTGGTCACAGGTGGGCAGACTGAGTAAGCTTCATGTGAGATTTAAAGAAAAAACTTGACAGGACACCTGTATGGAGAGTATTCCAGCAGAGGGTACATTTGAGCCACATCCTGAAGGCAGGAATGTGCCATGGAGCAGTGAGGAGACTTGTGTAGCTGGAGTGTAGTAAGCAATAAGGAGGGCACAGGATAAAAAGGGAATGGTGTCAGCCATGTCATGTAGGACCTTTGCAGACACTGGTTTTACTGTGGGTGTATCGGGCATCCATGGAAAGTTTTAAGTAGTGCATCATTTGCTCAGCTTTGCTTTGACTTTGAAAATACTCCATGGGGGATGAGGATCATCCAGGTGAGAGGTAATGATGGCTGAGCCCAGGGCCAAACTGGAGGTGGTGAGGAGTGGCCAAGATTCTGGATAAAGTTTGAACATAGAACTAGTATAATCTAGTGAGTGGTTGTGAGGTGTGAGAGAGGTTTTTTGTTTTAAACATTACCATGACTAATTCATAGGGTCATCTTCTGATTTAAGTAATAAATATTTCCATTGTAGGCTAATTTACATCATATATTTTCTAAACATCCCTTTGTATTTGGTTACTGTAAGCCTTATGTTATTTCTTACTTGATCACCAAGTGCATTTGTTATCTCATCGATTATTGGTGCATTCTGCTTGGTACGTGCGTTAGAAAATGACTTTTCCCATTGTAAAGTACTCATCTTCAGCCTGTTCAAATTCATGTGTATGAATATGCTTTTGCTTGAGATATATTGAATAGCACGAGGCGCTTAACCTTAAAGGTTAATCATTTTGTCATAATACAGTAATGGGTGCTGCAGTATCAGTATGGCCAAAAGGCCAAGGGAGTCAAAATGAGGAGGCTCTGAGTTTCTGCATGTCTGGGAGATAGAGAATGCCTTTCTAAGAGGTGTTTAACTTCCCCCGCTTCTCCTTTTATTTTATCGTTATTTCATTTACTTACATATGTATACATTGTTTGTGCCACCTCCCCCCAGTCTCCCTGCTTCCAGGCAGATTTATGTTCTGCCCTCTTCTCTGATTTTGTTGAAGAGGAAATATAAGAGATAATAAGAAAGACATAGAGTTTTTGCTAGTTTGGGATAAAGATAGCCATACAAAGAGATTCCTATCGTTGCTTCCAGGCACTTATATTGCAACCCACATTGGTTCTTTTCTACCAGAAGGAGGTGATTACCCTTGATCATGAACAGTGACTAGTATCTAGGCTAAACAGCTAGTTTGCTAGGGTTTTTTTTTTTTTTCTTTCAGCGAATTAGAGAGGAAAAGAGATAGTGATAAGTCTACCTATTAAAGAAGAAAAGTTCAGATTCTATATAAAATATGCATAAGACTTAAAAGCATAGCATTCTGATATTTTTTTTATACAGATACCTTACTAACTCTGGTAAGTGCTCTTCTTAACATTACTGCTCAATATTGTATATTAACAGGACTTTGTTAATAGAGTATAAATCAGCATCAATATTGGTATTGGGAATACCCTCCAAATCATAGCATATTCCTGTTCATAGTATAGAAAACTCATTTTCACAAGATAGCAACTTTATGTGTGAATTGAGAGGTTAGGAAGTATAAATAAAACATTTGAATTTCAATTTTGAACTTTTAATGTCTTCCAAAGCATTGGATGTTTAAAGTGTTAAAGAGTGGTTAAATTATTTTCAGTATACTGTACTTGAAATGATTTAGGGCTAAGGATGTAGCTTAGAAGTAGAGTGCTTTCCTAGAATGCATAAGGCCCTGGGTTTGATCTCTGGCAACACACACACACACAAAGATTTAATATGAGTGGCTAGCATCTTTTTAAAGTCGTGCTTTTTTTAGATGGTGAATATTCTAGTTTTTGAAAATAGAAAAATCTGTGTACATGGAATGCCTCATTTTTTGACATTGCAGATACATGGTACTTTAATAAGATCTATTATTGTGTATGTGAAATAAAACTCTGTCTTGCATGTGACTCCCTGCTTCATATCTAATGGTGTTTTTCTTTTAGGTTCAAAAGATGTTGTGATAAAGGCACAAGTTTTAGCTGGCGGTAGAGGAAAAGGTACATTTGAAAGTGGCCTCAAAGGAGGAGTGAAGATTGTTTTCTCGTAAGTGATTTTTTTTTTTAAAGAAAAATCATTATTGAAGATTGATTATTGCATTGATGAAAATACTGAGATTTGAATATTAAATGAGATAAGACTTTAATTCTGACATGGATTTTTCTTAGTTGGACACAGAAGAGTTTGAGGTTTTTTTTTTTTTTTCCTTATTTTAGCCCAGAAGAAGCAAAAGCTGTTTCCTCACAGATGATTGGGAAAAAGTTATTTACCAAGCAAACAGGAGAAAAGGGCAGAATATGCAATCAAGTATTGGTCTGTGAGCGAAAATATCCCAGGAGAGAATACTACTTTGCAATAACGATGGAAAGGGCATTTCAAGTGAGTAATTGTAGACATGACACATTTAGAATGAATTTATAACATTCGATTTCAAAATATTGTTATTGTTTACATGGGAGAGAGTAAAAATATGATTCATGATCCACACACAATATTTATGTCATTTTTGAAAAACAGCATGGTAAATGCCATAAAATATGGCATATAATGTTATGATGAGAAAAGCTATAGGAAAAATGCAGCTGTAATAAATTTCATGGGATTTCCAAGTTATTACTTCACTAAGAACAGCTTATCTCATATCTGGGTCATCTCTGAATTCCATAGACTTCTTGAGAAAATAATTTCTACCATAGTAAAATATTCTCACTGAAGAATCTCTGAATTCACTAAGAAAACTATCCATTGCTTCATGTTTTTCTTTTTCCACTTCTTAGTATATTTTAAGTTTTGATTTTTGTTACACTACATGATTTGGTATTTGGTAAGTTGAAAGTGACAGTAGGTAGCATGCAATATGGTTTTAAGGAGCGTAACACACCCTGTTGTGCTCTGCCCATGGAACCTGAGATTCTAGCAGTAAAAACCCTGCTGTAGACTTGGTGTTTAGAGAGTATAATTAGTCATTTTAACTGTAATTATCTGGCTTTTTTAATACATTAATTAGGTTTTATAAGCTGAATCTGTGTTAACCAGCCTTGCTTTTTGAAGCAAACTACATGTTTGGAGCCTTGGAAAAGATTTGATATAAAACATTATTGTGTATAATTTAGAACAGAAAATTTTAAGAGCAAAAAATACTTTTCTTAAATAGAACAACTTTAAAAAAAAAAAGCAGTATTTTCTATATTGTGTTTTTTTTCTCCTACATTAAAGTTTCTAGTAATGTTAACAAAAAATGTAACTTAAAAGGAAGTATTTCTTAAGGTTCAACACTAGGTGGCAGTAAGAACCCACAAAATGTAAAGACTGGAAAGCACTGTTTCATTCTTAAATGATAACCCTTAACTCTTTAGGTTTCTCTGTATGGTAGAATTTGCTTCTTGGAACTTATTTTAGAAATTATATACACTAATCTAACATATCACACAAATTTACAGAAGCTGTGTTTCATATGCTTACTTACATGAAGAAAATGATTACATTTTCTTGATGTTATATATTAGTATCTATCGTTGTGTAAGCTGTGTTTTTACATTTTGTTAATAGTTAGAAGCAAGGTGCACATGCCTAAACAAATTGAGATAGATGTCCTATCCAGAATAACTAACTCATTTTGATTGTGGTAGATAGAGAAAACTGAATAGTGTTATTAAAGATACGTTAGTAGAGCATTTTAGGAGAAGGATCAACTTTGAGTTCATTTTATGAACTTGAATTTCAGAGAACTATTTGGGTCTTATTTACAGAAGAAAATTTTTTTTATTTCTGTTGCATAAAGTAATAACATGGTTATAATAACTTAAACAAAATTCTATAATACTAGTAAAACTGTTTGATCAGAGGCATAATGTTCTTTGATGTATTACATTAGACCAATGTAGAGTTGATTGTTGTACTTTTTGGGGGGAATTCTCACAGATAGGTTTGTGCAAAGCAACAAAATCCAGTTAGCTACTTAAGAAGGAAACATTTTTGGTTGAGTTAAAATCTTATGCATATAAGTTAACTGAATATTAAAAATTGCTTTTGTTACTTACCTGTTTTAGGAGATGAATCATAGGCTCCACCAGTCTTCTTAAGTACCTGTCACATCAGGATACCTGGGCAGAGATCTACCATAGGATTGGTGTGCTAAAAAAAATCAATTTTAAGTATCTGCGCTGTTTTGGCATTTTTGTTAAATCAGATTTATTAACATTTGTCTAGTGCCTGCTAAGTACTTACTTTTGACTTGAGACAAATCTAATTTAGGAGATCTTTTGCTACCTTATTTTTCTACAATCTGCTAAAAATGAGTGGCATATTTCATTATGTCAGTTTTTGGCTTTGCCTGAAGTAGATATAAAATGTACTGAAATAATTCCAAAACTTTCCATAATTTTATTTTTTATAAGTGTATGTTTATTATATTAAGTTTCTGCTTTGTCATATGCTTTTAAACTCAAACCTATTTTAAGGGAAACATTCTTGCAAGAGCAATAAGAGAAGTTCAGGTTAAGATGGTGAAAGTAGCATTATTAATTTATTGGAAAATATAACTATTTGCTAGACTAAATTATTCAGAAAATTTATTACTAAGATTTAAAAGTTAAACTAATCTTCTATAGTGATTTTCAAATGCAAAACTAGTTTGAACAGATATTGATTTATATATGCAAATGGTTGTGGAGTTATTATAAAGGCTCTTCACTTTCTTTTATGTGTTATTATTTTACATGTACTTTTTAAAAGCCTTTTCCCTAACTTACAGCCCTATTGGAAACTTAATTATTACTTTAGTGAGACTTTAATATTATCTTTCTCTCTCTAGTAGTGCTTCCTTCTCTGTGGCTCTTCATTTCTCTTATCAATTGATACAAAAAGAAAAGAAAAGCTAAAATAAAATGTTCAGATACTTTAAAGGTTTGTTAATCCCTGCCTCTTATGTTGAATATATTTTGTGTTTATCTGTAGATTTAATTTATATCCTACTTCAGTAGCATGGCAATAATTGAAGAGGCTCTTATAAGTCTTTTTTTGCTCTTAGATGTTTGTAAAAGCTATAGTTATGCACTGCCTTGCTAGAGAGGAAAGGAAAAATACATTTTCATTTGAAGTTTAGTGAGGGCCTTAAAATTAGACTATAATTTTATACATTTTTCTTTACTTAGACTCGCCTCGTGTTTTCTCCTTTAGTTTCAGAGGAAAAAAATTTATTAGAAAAAATATAGTGGAGGTTGTGTATTGGATGAGTTCTGACACCATGTACTGAGAGTTAGGTCAAACTTTAGAGGTCAAGGGCATACACAGTGTGGCATATATCTGCTTTCATTTCAGACATCAGCTTCAAGTTTGGGGGGTCCCCAAGTCACCCTCACTTCTGACCAGCCTGCCACAAATTCTCAGTTTCCTGATATCCCTTCTGGGTGTATAATTCCCTAGAACACCTCAAAAACACAGGAGCTCAGGAAAGTGCTATATTTATGATAACAGTTTTGTTACAGTTGAAAGATACAGATCACAACCAACCAAATGGTGAAGCATGAAATAGGCCTGGGAGGGTCCTAAATATGGTGTTTTTCACTACTTTCGGAATGTGTCACCCTCCCAGCATCTCGATGTCTGGCAACATGCAGAATACTGTCAAATAGAAGCTCACCAAGCTTCTGGTGTCCAAAGAGTTTTCTTAACTTAAATTTTGTTTTATTGTGGTCAAAAACAATGCAGAATTTACTGTCTTACCTGTTTTTTGAGTATACTCAGTCATATACAGTAATATTAATATGCACATTTTGAGCAATAGATATCTAGATCTTTTTCATGTCACAAAACTGAAACTCTGTGTCTATAGAATAACTCACCTTTCCCCCAAGCTCCCAGTCTTGATAACCACCATTCTATTTTCTAAGAGTATGACTGTTTTAGATACTTTATATAAGTGGAATCAGACAGAATTTGTCTTTTTGTGACTGGCGTATTTCACTTAGTGTAATGTCGCTAAGGTTCATCTATGATGTCGCATATCATAGGAGTTTGCTTTTAAAGGCTGTCCATTGTATGTGAATACTGCATTTTCTTTATTCATCTTTTGATGGATATTTGGATTTCTTCCTCTTCTTGGCTGTAATGCTGCAGTGAACATGGGTATGCAGGTATCTTTTTGCCAGTTTATTCTCAGTTCTTATGGATATATACCTAGATGTGAGATTACTGGATTTTAAGGTAATTAATCTGTTTTTAATTTATTTTTGAAGAACCTGTAGTGTTTTTCTTCATATTCTTAGCAGCGCTTTCTGTTTTTTTGATAGTGGCAGTCCTAAAGAGTGGTAAGATGAGATCATAAGATCATTGTGGTTTTGATTTACATTTTGTAAGGACTAGTGATATTAAATATTTTCATATATTTATTGCCATTTGTGTATCTTTTTGGGGAGGGGGAATGCCTATTAATGTCCTCCTCCTATTTTTTAATTGAATTGTGTGGTTTGCAAACACTTTATTCCATTTTGTGGATTGCTGTTTTACTTTGTTGATTGTTTCCTTTGCTCTGAAAAGTTTGAAGTTTGACACAATTCCATTTGTCTATTACTGCTTTTGTTGTCTGTGCTTTTGGTGTCATATGTAAGAAATCATTGTCAAATCCATTGTCGTGTAACTTTCCCCCTGTGTCTTCTTCTAGGGATCTTACAGTTTCAGATCTTATGTTTAGGTCTTTTATTCTCTTCAGTTAATTTTTATATATGTTGTAAGGTAAGGGTCCAACTTCATTCTTTGCATGTATATATCTAATTTTTCTAGCATCATTTGTTGAAGAGAGTATCTTTTTCCTATCATGCAGGATCGTTTAACCATACATGTGACAGATTGTTTTTGGCCCTTCAGTTATATTCCCTTGGTCCATATATCTATTTGTTGTTGTTGTTTTTTGAGAGTTTATATAGCCCAGCCCAGACTGGCCTTTATCTCAAGATCCTCTTGTCTTAGCTTTCTGAGTGTTGGGATCACTCCCATACCTGGCTTCATACCGATTTGATTACTGTAGTTTTGCCATATGTTGTATGAGGTTTCCAACTTTTTAGTTCTTAATAAAAAGCTATTCTGAGTCCTTATGTATGAATGTTAGGATGGTTTTGTTCTATTTTTGTAAAAATTGGCATTGGGAATTTGATTTTCTTGAATTTGTAGATTGTTTAGGGTAGCATGCATGTTTTAAACCATATTACATCTTTCAGTCCTGAACACAGGATATGTTTTCATTTGTTTGTGTTGTCTTTATTTCTTTCAGCAGTGTTTTGTAGTTTTCATTGCATAAGCTTCTTTGGTTAAATTTATTCTTTTTTTTTTTTTCAACTGAAATTTTGTTTCTACTATACTCTTTTTAAAATTTTTATTACAAT